CGCATTTTTTTCTTTAACGTTATTTCCATCCGAATACCTATTCCAATATATCTGCTTATATACATATTTCAAACGTAATTGTCGCGCTCTTTTTCGTCCAAGTAATCGTACGCGCCTGCCTATAATAACGTATACATTTATGTACGAGTGTCGGTATCCATATGCAATCGTGTAGCACACGCATGTATATGCGCACGCGCGTAATTACACGCGATGTATCATCGATGGATGCACATAGCGCAAGTATTGCGAACGTATTGTCGTCATCGTTGTTGTCGTTGCATCGTTGTATCGAGTGCACCGAGTTTAGAAGTTAGGTGCATTGTGTATGAGGCGTTTCAATGTTTTCTCAAATTTGGCCTGATTGTTTTGAATTAAAATTCATGGCCATATAATTTATTGTGATCAAATCATAATCGAAATTTTTTTACGAATTTATTATATAATAATTTTCAATTATATATACTAATATATATATATAACATTTACTTAGATAGAAACAGAAATATGGTCGATTTTCGATTCGAGCACAATATTAGATATATCATTGAATCTTACGTAACAGCTTAAAAATAAACCATATTCACATTCGTATGCTTAATTATATGATACACTAAAAGCAAATAAGAAGCATGTATATTCAAATTGCGACCAAATTAACGAATTACATACATATTGCATGTAAAGAAGTCATAGTATAAGAAAGATGAAAGTAAAAATATAGCAAAAGATAGCAAGAAATGGTGTTTGAAGCTAAATGTTAATTACAAAGCTTTGCAGGAAAATTTATTCTGTTAATCACTCATTGGAAAAGTGATGGTACGAAAATTATCGGAAATGATGCCTGCTGAATTTCTTTTCTTTGATTTTTTTCTTAATTTTTTATGCAACTAAGTAAATTAAATCTATTAACGATAGCTGTTTGAATAAAAATATTATATTTATATATACTAAAATAATAATAATAACAAATTAACAAATATAATAAAAAAAGATAAAAAACTTATTTGATGGAATTTTTCTTATAAAAGAAATGATATTGTGTATCAAATATTGTACGGCATCGAAACACAGATGAACACTGATTTTTTCACTTTGTTCTTTCAAATGCAAATCGGAAATAATTGCAGATTGTGACGTGGGCATCGTACAACATATACGATTTTATTTCTATCCGCGCATTGAAGAAAGAATAAAAGAGATCGAGTCTCTCTGTGTTTCATTATGTCATATCATCATATTAAATCATGATCATTATTGTGTGATGATAAAAATCAAATAGAAAGGGGAAAAAAAGAGAAAAAAGACAAACAGAGAAGAAGAGAAAGTGAGAGAAAAGATCGAAAAGGGCCGCAGTCGCGCTTCGAACGGTCTAAAGGGCGGAAGAACCGACGAAAGAAAGTGAAAGCTATGACCCAGAAACTCGGGAAACGTAAATGGCGCGTACCTATACGTTTCAGAATTATAAATCATTATACAAAGGTTCTATTTAATTTCGATATATGATAACTCATCAATTATTTTCTTTCATTTTATTAATTACATTAGACGGCATAATTCCGTCAATGAATCATAACATCGAAATAAGCATGACAGTAATGCATATTTTATACATAAAATATATACATATAATATTAACACATTATTTTTAATATATGTAATATGTATGTATCTTATTACTTCAAAATTATTTTATAAATTATAAATTATATATTAATTTTATATTTTATATATATATATAATTTAATTCCATTGAATTACAAATGCGTTTATTAATTAATGATAAAATTAATCTTTCTATGATAGATCAAATAGCATTAGATTAGAAATATTAATAAGAATATTCATTTATTTCCCTGTCGAGAAAAAAAAAGAAAAGGTATATACATTATCTTCTAATATACGATTACTATTTTAGTATTAGTTACGCAGGTTATGGTATCTATAACTTGTAATATTTGTCACAAAGAATAGCTTGGTGTGATCTCTCTCTCTTTTCATTCACTCACTCACTTATTCGCTTGCCACTCACTCTTTCTTTTTGCTCTCTCTTATTCTGAGCAACGTGTCTCGGTGTGTGAAGTGTGCCAAGGACTGTCCCACTCCGCAATCCCATTTTCGAAACTAAAAGTAAAATCTAACTCATTGTACTATGTTACACATATGTATGTATATATATATATGAAAAAAGAAAGAGACTATTATCATTATATATATATATATATATATATATATATATATATAT